TGGTTCTTTCTTCCTTTCTTTTCTTTCCTTTCCTTCTTTTTTTTCTTTCCTTCTTTCTTTCTTTCCTTCTTTCTTTCCTTTCTTTTTCTTTTCTTTCTTTCTTTCTTTCTTTTCTTTCCTTCCTTTCTTTTCCTTCTTTTCCATCTTTCTTTTTCTTTCCTTCTTTCTTTCCTTTCTTCCTTTCCTTTCTTTCCCTTCTTTTCCATCTTTCTTTTTCTTTCCTTCTTTCTTTCCTTTCTTTTTCTTTTCTTTCCTTCTTTCTTTCCTTCTCTTCCTTCTTTCTATCTTTTTCTTTCCTTCTTTCTTTTTTATTTTTCCTTCCTTTCTTCCTTTCTTTCCTTCTTTTTCTTTCTATCTTTCTTTCCTTTCTTTCTTTCCTTCTCTTTCTTTCTTTCTTTCTTTCTTCCTGCCTTCCTTCCTTCCTTCCTCTTCTTTCTCCTTCTCCTCCTCCACTTGTAGTCCTCGACTTATGACCTCTTCCCTTCTTCCTCTTCTTCTTTTCTTCTCCTTCCTTTTTTCTTTCTTCCTTCCTCTTCCTCCTCCATCACCCCCCCCAATCCTCCTCCACTTGTAATCTTTGACTTACAATCTTTTCTTCCTTCCTTCCTTCCTTTCCTTCTTTTTTTTTCTATCTTTCTTTCCTTTCTTTCTTTCCTTCTCTTTCTTTCTTTCTTTCTTTCTTTCTTCCTGCCTTCCTTCCTTCCTTCCTTCCTCTTCTTTCTCCTCCTCCTCCTCCACTTGTAGTCCTTGACTTATGACCTCTTCCCTTCTTCTTCCTCTTCTTCTTTTCTTCTCCTTCCTTTTTTCTTTCTTCCTTCCTCTTCCTCCTCCATCACCTCCCCAATCCTCCTCCACTTGTAGTCTTTGACTTACAATCCTTCCTTCCTTCCTTTCCTTCTTTTTCTTTCTTTCTTTCTTTCTTTCTTTCTTTCTTTCTTTCTTTCTTTCTTTCTTTCTTTCTTTCTTTCTTTCTTTCTTTTTCTTTCTTTTCTTCCTTCCTTCCTTCCTTCCTTCCTTCCTTCCTTCTTTTCTTCCTCCTCCAGCTCTCTCCCTCTTTTACTACTTCGTGTGTTGGGGGAGATAGAAACGCCTGCTTCTTGCTCTTCTTTAGGCCTCAACCTTTGTCCTTTGTCCTTTGATGTCGTCCCTCCATCCTTCTTTCTTCTTTCTGTCTCTCGACCTTCTCTCTCTCTTTTTTGTCCATGCCTTGCATGGTCTGGAATCCCATTTCTTTCAAGAACCCTTTAAACTCAGCCGGTCGCTCCTTTCCTGCAGCAAAGGGCCAGCAGTGGTCAGAGCTGGACCTGACCCAGCAGAAGACCTACGTGATGCGGCTCCTGGATGGGCTGGAGGTGGTCAGCAGGGACCAAAGGCTGAAAGTCGCTCGGGCCGTTCTCTATTTGGCACAAGGTAACGGCACCAGGCGAGGCCCAAACAGGTTCCTTGCGGGAGTTCCTGATCAATCGATTAATTGATTGGCATCCTGCCTTTATTATTCTCACAAATAACTCAAGGTGACCGACAAATCCTGCTTCCTCCTTCTATTTTCTACACAACAACAACCCTGTGAGGTGGGTTGGGCTGAGGGAGACAGAGTGATTGGCCCAATCACCCAGCTGGCTTACATGCTTAAGGCAGGACTAGAACTCACCGTCTGCCTGTGATTGGCCCAAAGTCACTCAGCTGGCTTTCATGCCTAAGGCGGGACTAGAACTCAC